ATCCAGCTCTATCTGTGCACCCATCGCAGCAAACATGCATGTCAGGCAAGAGGTGAGGACCACCCACATGCCCCAGGCTGCATGCTTAGGGCGGAAGTTCCCCTCATGAGCCTGGCAGGAGGTGCCCTCATGAGCTGCGCCCCAGGAGAGGGACCTGGTCCTGTAACCCAGCAGGACCCTGTGGGGTCTTCGCAGGGCAGACCTCTCTCCCTGTATCCTCTGCTGCAGCTCCTCTCTGAGGGACCCAGATAACAGTATCTCACGTTTATTTCCTGAGTTTTTCAGATGCTTAAAACCATCACCAAAGGGAAGAAATTCACTACTTGATAATGGAAGAGAGCACGTGGCCCCCAGGCCTTCTGGCGCCTGGGGGTTGATAGTGTTGACCGCCCTGTTCCCTCAACATCAATCAATCAGAGAATCGTGCGTGAGCTGATCACCTACCCGCGACACCCCTCCCTCACCTGGCCTTAAATGTGCTTTGCTGAGCCCTGCAGGGAGTTTGCGGTTGTCTTGGGCACGAGCCACCCCGTCCTCCTTGCTCGGCCCTGCAATCAACCTTCCTCTGCTGCAAACCCTAACATTTCCGTCTGGCCTCACGGCGCCTCGGGCACACGGGCTTGCCTTTGGTAACAGTCCCAGAAAGAAAGGTCAAGGGTCACCCACAATGTGAGATGCACTGCATTTCCCACCTGAACATCCTGCCTCATGAAGAATCCTCCTGCGCCGTCAAGTAAGATGACTGTTAACAGGCAGGTCACTACTGTCCTAGAAAGGGGCTTCCAGCAACGGGGCGGGGAGCCCAGCCAATTAGAGTGCATTTAGGAGAGACTCTGAGATGAAGAGGTGTCACAGCATCTGGTTTCATGTGACAGATTAATACTTTCTAGAGACAATATACATTTTGATTTGTTTTGTAGTTACAAATGCTTGAGAGAAACCCTTAAATATTTGTCACAAGACTCTGTGTCTTGTTCCACTTTGAATTTCTGATCTAGTGTCTCTGCTAACTACTCCATTCAAAAAAAATTAAGCGATGACATGGATCCCAAATGGCATAAAGTGCATTAATCTTAACATGCACAGCTCGATGGTTTTTCACGCGTGTGTAGACCGTGTAACCACTGCTCAGACCAAGATATGAAACATAAAGGGACCCGTCTAGAACATAAGGTTCCCTTCTGCACTTTTCCAGTCCATTATCTCCCAGAAGTAAACCAATATTCTGACTCATATAAACACCCATTAGCTTTCCTACAAACATTCTGGAAGGAAACAAAAGAAAACTCTCAGGGGCATTTAACCGGAAACTGCATTCGTGTAAATTGACCAACTGCCTTGAGTAAGTACACCTGCCAATCATGTGGCCCCCAATTCCTGGTGCGGACCTTTAAGCCGGTCCTCTCCAAAGCCCCGCCCCACTTTCTACACCACGCCCCTCACTTGCTCTCCCTCCTGAAGGACACGGGGGCAGACCAGGAGGTGGGAGGAGACCCCTTTTCTGTCGTGCATACTAGGGAACAGGCACGTTCCTTCTTTCTCAAAGAAAAGAAATCTCCTGCACCAGGTCCAGCCAGTGGGACTGGTCTCCCATCTCCAGGGTCTCATTGATCAGATTTTGTGAGATAACAGGAAAAATACGTATTATTCTGCCCCCAGTTCCTGGCACAGAGCTTCTGAAACCCTTGTAATTTCCTAAGTAAGAACAGTAGAAGCATCTCTTTTCCTAATATTTGTCTTCGACCCCATCCCTGACTCTAGAGTTGACTCCTGGATGGAGGCTGGTCACCAGAAAAACCAAGCCGTGATTAAAAGCTTGGAATTTTCAGCTCCGCCCACCCCTCCCCCATCCTCCAGAGAGAAGAGGAGGCAGGAAATGGAGATGATTACTGATCATGAGGGAGCCTCCATAAAATCCCAGTTGTAAAGGGTTCAGGATTTTCTGGTTGGTGAACACGTGGAGGTGCTGGGAGAGGGGTGGCCCAGAGAGAGCCTGGAAACTCCTCACCCCTCCCCACACACCTCGCCCTGTGCGCCCCTTCCTCGGGGCTGTTCGTCCGTAACATTTATCTTATCCTTTAAGAAAATGGAAGACGTAAAGCTCCCCCTGAGTTCTGGGAGCCACTCTAGGAAAGTAACTGAACCCAAAGAGGGTCATTAGGATCTCCGAGCTCCAGTTGGTTGGTATGAGACAGGAAGGAAGGGGACAGGGCACAGCCATTCAAAGACTAACACAACAGTTAGCACCAAGATGGAGAAATGCTCAACTCCCAGCAGGACTTGAGGCCCAAGATGGTGGGAAATTTGACTTCCAGTGACCTTGAGCTTCGTTATACACTCACTGTAATATATGAACATGGTTAACGGCACTCCCACAGGCGCCAGGACAGTTCCGAGGCTGACCATAAAGGTCAAAAAGTGCGCAGTGGGCCACTTCCTGGGAATCCCAGCCCCTTCCCCAGAGTAGTTGGAATAATCCACTTTTAGCTTATGAAGTTTCTGAGCCCATAAAAATTAACAACCCCACACCCCATGGCCTTTCTCTGGCCTTCTGGAACAGCCTGCACTGTCTAAGGAGTAAGTATCTCTCTGAATAAATCTACATGTACTCAACTGTGACTTGCTCTTGAATTCTTTCCTGCATGAAGCCAAGGACCCTCACTTGGTGGGGTGTGTCCCAGAGACTGAACCGAGACCTGGGACACAGCCCTCCTCTCGCCCCACATTCCTTCTCCTGTATCAGGTAGAAACACAGGTGACAACCTGGACTATGGACTGGCCTCCGAAGTGAAGCAGGGGCCCGTCTTGTAGGACTGGTCCCTTCACCTGTGGGATCTGGCACTTCCTCCAGGTCGACAGTGTCAGAATTGAGATAAATTGCAGGACTTCCCGCTAGTGTCCTGGAAAATCACTTGGTTTGGGAAAACCCCCACATTAGGTGACCGGAAGTGAAGTGTTCTGTGTGAGGAGAAAAGGAGACTGTCAGGAGAGACACAATGGGGAAGAACTGGGCTTTTCCTTACACGGGAAAGCAAAAAGCTGAGTTTTTCATATATGGATTCCCTACCAGGGGGAGAGAGAAAGTGGAAACTCAAGGGTCCCTCACACCCAGCAGCGCAGAGGGCCCCCCTCCTGCCAGCGCACGTGGACCAGAGCACTCAGGCAGCAGCAGCCCTGAGTGCAAGGGGCAGGAAGGGGACGGAGCCCCGCTGCTTTAATTCAAAGGGGCTCAGGTCAGGACATGGAGGACTGGGGGGCTCTGGTGCCCTCACAAAACATGCCTAGGGCTGCGGGCGCTCTGTCCCAGAGTCCGCTCCAGCGTGTCCCCAGTGCAGCCACGGCTCTTCCCGGGGCATCTTTATTGCTTCCCAGATGGTCCTTTCTCTGCACCCTTCTTGTGTTACCAAATCCAAGTTCATGAGCCCAATGAACCGTGAGGCCAAACAAATGGAAACATCAGAATTCAGAGTAAAGAAAGTTTTACTGCAGGGCAGAGCAAGGAGGAGGGGGTGGCTTATGCCCAAGAAAACCCCAAACTGCCCAGAGGGTTTCAGCAAAATGTATTTAAAGGCCAGGTGAGGGAGTGGGGTCTCAGGGTGCGTGATCAGCTTGTGTACGACTCTCTGATGATAATTCTCTGATGGGTTGATGCTGAGGGAACAGGGCGGTCAACACTATCAACCCCCGGGTGCCAGAAGGTCTGGGGCCACGTGCTCTGGATCGTCAAGTAGTGAATTTCTTCCCTTTGGTGGTGGTTTTGAGCATCTGAAACACTCAGGAAATAAACCTGAGATACTGTTACCTGGGTCCTTCAGAGAGGAGCCACAGCAGAGGATACGGGGAGGGGTCTGACCCTGGAAGGCCCCACAGGGTCCTGCTGGGTTACATGTGGGGCTCTGGTTTATGGATCCAACACCTTCCCTACATTTCTTCTGGGTTTGAGACTGGGCAGCCTCTCAATTCCTTCCACCCTTGTTCTAAGAACTGTAAGTAGTTCTGGCTGAGGGCCCTCTGGCTTGGTGTCCAGACCCTTCTTTCTGTGCGGAGGGGAGACCAGAGCCCCCGTGGCATCTCCCTCCCTTGACAGGACACGAACCGGTCACACGGGACCAGCAGGGCTGGCGGGGCTGGGGGCCTGCATAGCGTGTGGGCAGCCGGAGTAGTCATTTCCTTTTAAGGCAAGTCATTTCCTTTCCTCCAGAGCCTCCACTCACTGGAATTATAACTCCCAACCCCCAGGGCTCCCTGCTCAGTGTAAACACCCCGAGGGGCTTCCTCCCACCTCCCGGGCGGCCTCAGTCCTGCTCAGAGCACAGACCTCAGGATGCACACAGCCCCCAGACTCTCTCCACTTCGAAACGACATTGCCTGTTGCAGGCGTAGCTGGCTTGGCCATCAGCCACACTTCCGAAGGGAGCATGCTCCCTCTGGCCTGGCAGATCTTCGGTGGCCTGACCACATTCTTCACTGTCCAAGTCGGGGCGCTGATAGAATGAACAAAGGGGCTGATACTAACTCTGCTGGGACAACAGGTTCACATCTGGATGGAGACAGGCAAACGGGATGTGTCCTATTTGCCGAGGGGTTGGGAGGGGCAGGAATTACCTCACTGATCTGAGATCACCTAACTGATTTGAGCTCTGCCATTGTAGTTACAGGCATTTTCCCATTCCCGGTGCCTGTGACCTTGGGGGCTTGTGCTTTGGCACAGGGGTCAACCCGAGGCCCTGGGAGCCTGCCTGGGGGGGGAGCGGCCAGTTCATCTAGAAGACAGTTGTTTCTATTCATTACAGAAACCATGCATGTTAGGAGCACTTAAAGATGAGGAAATAGTTCTGAGAGCAGTTCACTAGGTCCCCTTAGGTCACAGCTGGCCAGGCCAGGCTTTTCTAAACTAACTCGAAGAGTCTGTGATCTATTTATGTCCTAAAAAAATCTGATGACAAAACTTTTTTTTTCCCTCCTGTTTCAAAACCATAACAAGCTCAACATTTCCCATCTGAACTCATCCATCTTGTCCTGAAGTCAGCAGTTTCCTCTTAATGCCTTATCTCCGTCCAGGCACTCCTGCTCCATCCGTCCGCAACAGCGCAGAACCCAACTGGGGACCTGGATGGAATGGAATGTACTGGAAGACTTGGAGCATAGCAGGTACTGAGAGTTGGCCAGGTCGAGGGAGGTTGGCGGCCAGGGTCTGGAGTCGGTGCAGCTGCGGGCGGGAGCCAGGTGTGCGAGTCGAGGGCAAGCACGCGGGTGGGGATGCCAGGCCGTGCCCTCGCCTGGGCAGATGGGGCCCAGGCCGCAGGGACTCCGGGCGAGGTGAGCAGAGGGTTGGCCAGGGGAGGGGAACGTGGGAGCAGAGGAGGCTCAGGATGGAAGACCAACAGAGTTCACGTCCATCCCCGGTAATGCACTTCCACTTTCATTGTCGAGATGTAGAAAATCAGAAAATCTAAAAGTAGAGGAAGACCGTTACCCACAAGCCCAATGCCGAGTCATTAGTACCACTGATCTTCAATAAACCCTCTTTGGGCTCCTGTCTTTCAAAATTTTTAAGATTTTGTTTTAACCTTATCATAATGTTACTCAATTCTTCACCTACTATTTTTCTCAAAATATGGCACAAGCATTCGCCCGTCTTATCAAATGGCTAGCAGTCACCCTATAATGTGGGTTGCAGAACGTTCTGTCAAATGGTTATTCACCTATTCATGGGCATCTGGTTTGTCTCCTATTTTCATTGCTACAAACAGCACCCCAAGACACACAAGTATTCTTGAAACGTTGTCCTCGTTTCAGATTAATTTCTCAGAACTGGGATGAGTGGGCAGAAGCTTAACACATTAAGGCCATGGATACGTGTTGCCAGATTGCTTTCTATAATTTCTAGATTGTGAAATGACAGCTATTTTAGCAGTAATGTTACAGCAGGCAGAGAGCTAGATATGAGCAGAGAAAGAGGGATGCAGGCCAAATGACAGGAGTTGGACAAAAAAGGAGAGGAGCAGGGGCCAAGTGCAGGAAACCACACATCATGTGAGCACCAGGGGTCCCTGGGACAAAGGAAAGCAGGAACCTCTGGGCTGATAAGCGGTCACACATGTTGGGGTGACAAGTGCCCTGCAGGCCTATAAAGAATGGTGGGAGAAGGCAGGAACCTCCAGTGTCTGAATGAAACCTTTTGCTCATTATGCCCTCATTTCAATAAAATAAGCCTTGCAGATTAGAAGCACCCATCATGCAC